TTTAAATCAACAAAAACTTTTTTCTGGGCAAAGAAGCGAAAGTAAATGAATGAATTTAGTTTCAATTCAATTTGATTCAAAACAAATTTTATTTGATTTAAATACAATTTATTTGTTTCATAGAAATTTTCCATTTTAAAGAATTATTTCTTTGACTTTATGTTAAGAATAAAATTTCCTTGATTTAATGAAAAAATTTCTTGGGTTTAAAAAAAATTTGTTTAAATCAAAGAAAATTTTCTTGAGTCTAAGAAAATTTGTTTAAATCGAAGAAATTTTCTTTGAATCAAAAACCCTCTTTTTATATAAAAGAAAAAATTTATTTTGAATAAAACAAGACGAGTCTCAGAAAACGTTTTTCTTAGATTAACAAAAAAAATTTTTCTAACTACAGATCATAAAAAAACTGAACCAAAATTAATTTTTAATTTACTTTCGTCTCAATATCGGTCCTTATGGTAAATTTTTTATTTCTCATCAATATTTTTTTGTTGAGGATAATTTTGTTAAAAAATCAGGAAAAAATAGCAAAAAAAAAAGAAAAGAGGGGTAAAATTATTGAGTCTTATTGATATTCCTTCTTGAAAGTAAAAAATGTACTTTTCTGATTGAAATAAAAAATGTTCTTTTTTCTCTCTTTTTGATTAGGGTTTGGGGAAATGAAAAACGTGTGATTTACGGTCAACTTGATCTCTTCATTATGGTACCATGATCGACTTTATGTGAAATGACCCTTTTTTTCTTTTTTTTTTTTGATGAGAAGAGTATATATATACCGAATCAAGCAATTCCCAAGGGAATATGTTTCAATCCTCAAAAGAGTCGTGCAACAAAAAAAAATCCCCTAATTTACAGGAAATTTGATTCGTGTTAATTAATGAGAAGAAAGAGTGTTGCGAAAATTTTTTTTTTCTAAAATAAAGAGAAATTTTCATTTTTTTGGTGAATTTTGCAAAAAAAAAAATTTACTTATTGTGGGGGAAAAAAGCTTTTTAAGTAATGAAACTGACAAAAGAGATTTTGAAGAATTTTTTTCCTTTTCGTTTTCGCCATTAGAATTATTAAAAGGAGTGTTTGTAATTTGAAATTTAATTTTGTTTAAATAAAGTGGGAAGTTTTTTTTTTATTTGGATTTTTTTTTGTTGAATTTATATATGAAAAATATTTTCAAAAGAGATTTTGAAGAATTTTTTTCCTTTTCGTTCCGCCATTAGAATTATTAAAAGGAGTGTTTATAATTTGAAATTTAATTTTGTTTAAATAAAGTAAAAAGTTTTTTTTTTTATTTGGATTTTCTTTTTTTCTGTTGAATTTATTTGAAAAATATTTTTTTTGATAAATTTTGCTCGCAAATAAATTATCGATCACATGGAATGAAAAATAATAGGTTAAAGTGATTCAGCAGTTTGACTATAAGGTTTGAGTTGCCCTGCTTTTTCCTTAGTTTCCAATCGTGGCTCACTCCATTAAACAGACTTACCTCTCACGGTATCTTTCTACTTAGTAACTATAAAAATAAGAAGAAAATAAAGATCTTTATATATACGTATATATATATTTCGTTGCAAGAGATACCAATCAGCTTGAGAAGTAAGAGACAAAAAAAAAAGAAAATAGATTTATAACAGTCACTTGTCACTTTTTTAAAGTGCTTCTAAAAAAGTCCAACAATTTTCTCATATTTAGTTTTTTTTTGTAAATGAAAATGTTTTTTTGCTTTTCACTAAATTAAACTTAAAAACTAGTTCCTTGAAAAAAGGGGATTAAATGTGAAAAAAAAATTGTGAGCATCTTTAAAGAGAGAATATTTCTGTTTAGAGACAAAATAATTTCGGAATTTGCACAAAATAATTAAATATTAAAAAAAGGGGGGTTTTTTTTTAGAGAAAAAGAATTTTTTTTGGACAGAAAAATTTCAGTATTTGCACAAAATAAGCATAGAATTTCTAAGGATATCAAATTGAGACAAAAAACGAATCAAAAATGTTGCTTCGCAACACTTTCGATTCGTTTTTTGTCTCAATTTGATATCCTTAGAAAAACTGATATATAATTAAATATTTAAAAAAAATTTTTTTTTTTAGAGGGAAAGTATTATTTTTAGAGACAAAATAATTTCGGAATTTGCACCAGATAAATAAATTGAAGGAATAATGGAATATTTAATAGTGAAATACAAAATTTAGTTTTACAGAATTTATTTTCATTCTATTTTTTTTTAAATCAAAAAACAATTTTTTGTGTAAAAAAATAAAAGTTTTTAAAAGAGTGTATCAGAAAAAGTGTGAGTAATTTTAGATTCGACACTTTAATCCATTAAAAATTGACATTGGATGAAGATTAAAAATTTTAGTGATTAGGTAGCATTTCCAGTAACGTGACATAAAAATTTGATCTTTTTTTAATAATACTGGAAATTTTTTATTTTTAATTCAATGTCAACTTTTATTGATTCAATGTGTCAGAATGAAAATTTTCAAATAAATAAACAAATAAAGAAAATAAATAAAAATAAACAAAATAAAGAAATTAAGTAATAACAATAATAATAAATAAATAAAAAATAAATAAACAAAAATGTTTTTCGATAACAAAAATTATAAATTAACTTTTAAATGCAATCAAAAATTATCTCGAAATTTTTTCAAAAAAAAAAAAAAAAAAATCCCAAAGGATTAAGTATTGTAATTTGTCGAGGGCAATAATCTCTTGAGATTAGTGAATGATTTTCTCTGATTAGTTGACAGCAGTCGTACACACGAAGGGTGAATGAAAAATAGGAAGGGAAATTAGTGGAGGGAATCAGCGTGAAGAGGGGTTGGATCTCTTAAAGGACTAAAGAGTGCGTAAAGTCCTGCGCTCTCTCCCTCTCAAAGGAGAACAAAAGTTATATGTTTCCTGGGCTAATATTTATTGCCTAGACGATTCCGTGGCGCCAACTTTCGTTGTCTTGTAATCTGCGACTTAAGAGAAAGACCAAAATTAGAAAACTGAACGGGGAAAAAAAAGGGAAGATAAATTTATTTAATAAAAAAAAAGCAAAAAAATTCTGCAATTGTTGGAAATAGCTGTGTTTTCAGTAATCAAATGAAAAAAAAATTGTTGTCAACGAAGAAAAAAAAAACAAAAAGATAACGAAAAAAAAGAGTTGAAAAAAATTTAGGTACCAAACTTCTCTAAATTTAAATTTCTTTTTATTATTATTATTATTATTATTATTATTTTTATTTTATTTAATAAATAAATTTTTTTATTTGATTACTAAAATCATGGCTATTTACAAAAATTGCAAATTTTTTTTATTAAATAAATTTGTTTTCTCTCTTTTTAAGTTCGGTTCTTGTTCAAATTTTTAATTTTGATCTTTCTCTCAATTTGCAGAATGATTAATTTGATAAATAATGGCAATTCATTTAAATATTTCATTAATATTTTTCATACACGTCTCCTTTAGGTTCACAAGTTTTTTTCTCTTATTTTTGTATTTGATAAAATTTTGGGTAGGTGGTCACTTTTTCTAAAAAATATTTTTTAATCCTTTTTGTCTAGAAAAGCGATTTCTCATAAAATCTGTTTTCTACAAAAAGTTTTTCTAACAAGTTTTAATTTCTAAAAAAAGTATTTTTAAAAAAAGTTTTTATAAAAACTTATGATTTCTAATATTTATTTTCCTAAAATTTGTAAAATTCCATAATTTTGATATAAGTTAGAAAATGGTTAAAAAAACTAAGTTTAAGAATTATTTTTTGTTTCTTAATCATAATTCTGTTTACAAAATTATAAAATTCTTTTTGAAAAAGAAGAAAAATTTTTTTAATAAATTATTATTTTTTATCACAATTTTTCAACAAAATTCGGTTCTTCTTTGAAAAAAAAATAATAATTTGCATCATTTTTATACCAAAATTTCCAAAATTAATTTATTTATAAAACATTTTTTTAAGAAAATTTAAAATATCTTTAGGAAAAAAATCCCTATAATTTCTATTTGTTAATTACGATTTTTAACAAGATTATTTTTTAATTTTGTTAAAAAATTTGCGTAATTTCTATTTTTTTATTATAATTTTTTAACGAAATCTCAAGTATTTCTTTTGAAGAATTAAACAATTTTCGGAAATTTTATTTTTTAATCATCTATATTAATCGTCATTACAAAAATTGAATATTGTTCGAAATTTTTTTTTTTTTAAATAACCTTTATTAGAAAAAGAAATTTTTAGGAAATGACCTGCATTAGAAGAAAGAAAATTAGAAAATCACCTTCATTAGAAAAAAGTTTTTTAGAAATTCACCTTTATTAGAAAAAAAAGTTTTTTGAAAGTAAAAAATTAGAAAATACATTTTAGAAATACTCTACCCCAACCAAAATTTTGTATTCTTTGTTTAAAAATGAAACTAATAATACAAACAATAATAATAAAATTTATGGTGTCAATAGCAAAATAGTAATAATAATAATAATAAAAATAATAATAATAATAAAAATATCAATAATAACAACAATAATAAAACAAAACAATAAAAAAAACTATAATAATAATGTTAGAATAATAACAACAATAATAAAACAAAAAAACAATAACAAATATTGACAATAAAAATAATAATAATTATAATAATAATAATAACATTAATTATTAATTTTATTCTTTTATCACAGTTTTTCTAAGGATACCAAATTGAGACAAAAAACGAAGTATGTAAAAATGTTGCAAAGCAACGTTTTGATTCGGTTTTTATCTCAATTTGATATCCTTAGAAATTCTGTGATAATATTTTAATTATTAATTATTAATTATTAATATTAATAATTATTATCAATATTTAATATGTAAATTAAAAAAATTATCATAATATTTGGGAGAGAGAAAATTTGTAGGAAGTAAATTATTGGATATAGGGAAAAAAATATTTCTTGAACGTTTTTTTTTTCTTTTTCTCTTCTTTTATTTTGTACTTTGAGAGAGAAATTTAAGAAGAAGAAGGAATAATTCAAGGAAGCTGAGTGTATACGAGCTAAAGTGAAAAGACCTGTCCGTATTTTAATTGTGAATCGTTAATTACTGTCGTAGATTACTTAAAAGGTCCCCGCCTGTGTCGTGTACCTTCTTTTTTGGAAAAAAAAGAACTTTTTTGACATTTATATTCTGTGAAATTACATTTCGTGTGGTCATCATTTTACAGCGACTTATTGCATTATTCAATAATATACATTCATATATATATATGGTAATTACAATTTTTATATTTTACTAAAAATATATAAATACAAAAAAATACAATTGGCAAAAAAATTAATTTTTTTATTGCTTGCAATTTTTTTTTGTTGAAAAATATTATTTTATTGCTCTATCTTGGTTTTGAACTTTAAGAAAAAAGTTAAAATCGGTTAAGATTTAAATGACTAGAAACTAAATTGATTTATTTACTTTTGTTTCTACTCGAGAAAAAAATTTTCTTTGAATTAAAAAAATCATTTGCCTTGACTTGTTTCTTTGATTGAAAATAATTTTTCTTTGGTTCTAAGATTATTTATTTGATTAAAAAATATTTACTTGATTCAAAAATATTTTACTATTGTTTCAAAGAAATTTTCCATTTCAATTCAAAGAATTTTCTTTCGCTCCATATCAATATATCATTAACAGAATTTCCTAGATTTAAAGAAAAAAATTCTTGGGTTCAAAAAAAATTTGTTTAAATCAAAGAAAATTTTTTTAAATCAATGAAAAGTTGTAAAGAATAAAAAAAATTCAAATATAGCAAAAGAATTGATTTTTTTATTGCTTACGATTTTTTTTAGAACTTCAAATTATTTTAATTGTACTATCTTGGTTTCGATTTCAAAGCACGATTTCATTTTTTTTTCGCTTTCTGTATAAAAATTTGAATCATGGCTATATATATTTTAAATATTCAGCAGTTTCTCGCAAGAGCAATTTTTCACTATTGAATACGAAATCAAGAGGGTTATCTGTAAATAAAATTGAAGAGTATTCATGTATTTTTTTCTCTGATATTCAAGTGGAGCTGGATTCACTAAGCCCCATATGTATGCGAGGATAGGAAATATTTTATAGATGCAGTAAAAAAATTTTGTTGAAAAATAAATTTTTTAATTAAAAAAAAAAAAAAAACTCATTTATGGCAATTTTGAAATTTTTTTTATTATTTGAATTTTATGCATATAAGTAGAAAGGAATTTTTGATGGGGAAATATAATTTTTAGAGTTAGAGGCTAAATGACTGTATAAATATAATGGGATGTATTTGAAAAAAAAATGAGTAAGAAATTTAGAAGAGAGAAACTTTTTAAGAAATATAATACGTCAGAGTTTTATATCGATCGTTCTAAAGACAAGCAGGGTGGAAAACTGAACCCTGTCACGGATCTATTAGAGCAAACGAGTGTATCAGTTGTAAGTTTCCTCTCTCATACATTCCACAATATATAAAGTAGAGAGAGAAAATTGTAGCAATCGAGGGTAAACTGTCTTTTGCACTCTTATGTTTGGAATTTCGTTCTTTTTTTTATGTAACAATTTCTACACAAGAATTCTATTTTAGAAAAATAATAATCGAAAAAGGGGAAAAATTTGTTTTTTTCTTTTTCAGTAATTCGTACTTGTACTGACTGTAATGAGCAGTTGGGTATAATTACATAGAGACTGAAGGAATGAGAAGGAATAAAAATTCTTTTTTACGTGAACACAATTAATAGCGTTGAAAATTGCTTTGGGGAATTAATTGCCAGGAAGCACGTCAAAGATTCATTCAGTAGTTTTGCACATAGGTGTTAAGAAAAATGCCAAGTATTTTTATTTTTCAAATATTTCCTTTTTACTGCAGAAAAGAAAATAGAATTTTAGTTTTTCTTGTATTTTTTTTTTCGAAATGAAGGAACTTTATTTTCTATTTTTGTAAAATGAAATCATTTTCTGAATTAATTTATCAGGGTTGCCACAGGTCAGGGAAATCAGGGAATTCAGAGAAAAGTCAGGGATTTTTATTAAAAGTACTGGAAAAAATTAAATGTTTAGAATTTATAATAAAATGATGAATTTTTGTGTCTTTTTGGTTACCTCATAAACTATGAAATTAACACGAATTATAAAAAAACCTTAAATTTTTTTTATTGTTGACAATAATTTATGTTAAATAACTTAAATCTATTGAAGAACTGCCATCAAGTTATTACTTATAAATCATTTAATGAAGTATTTTGTTGAAACATTTTAATTTGAATTCTGTTGAAATTAGTTTCAATTTTAAAAATTTTAACGCAATTCTTTGAATGAATTCAACTATTTTAATATAAATATTAATTTTTTTTCAGAAATTCAATTATTTTCAAAAATTTAAAAAACAAAATTCTCGCCAACATTTCAATTATCTTTATAAACAGCAAAATTCTTCGCTAAAATTCAATTACATTCAGGAACTTTTTAGAAAATTCGTTGTAAAATTCAATTATATTTTATAAAATCCAATTACTTTCATAAATAATAAAACTCATTGCAGAATTTCAATTATTTTTAATACAATTTTAATCAAATTCCTCATAAAATGTAATTAATTTTTAAAATTTTCTTAAAATTCGTTTTAAGAAACATTCAATTATTTAATAAATTATATATGTCTGTATTGAAATAATTAAATTCTCGTAGAATTTTCTAATAAAAATTGATTTAAAAATTAATTTCAGTTAAAGTTTTAGATAATAATTAAATTTTGGAGAAGTTATTAATAATGGCAATTTTTAGAAATAATTGAATTTTGTAAAAGTTTCAAATTAAAATCTTTGAAAATTTGAAATTTTCATACTTTTAATTAAAAATTCTATGGAACTAATTTTTTTCAAAAAGCTTAATCGAAATTTTTTGAAATTATTTCAAGTTTTTATTTTCTAATGTATATTTAATTGAAGAATTTCCGAATAATTGAAATTTTGTAAAATTCGAATTGTAAAAAAATGAATTTGAAAATTCTCAAAAGAACTTTATCAAAAATTATTAAAAATAATTGATTTAAAGAAGAATTTTAGTTAAAAATTCTAAAAAATAATAATTAAATTGAAATAATGAAAATTATTTTAAAGAAGTTACAGTAACAATCCTTAATATGAAACGAGTAGATATGCAAATTAGGTAAAGAGAGACAGTCTAATGTTGCTTATCCTCGAAAGAGAAAGAAAGCATTAGCGTTAGATTTTCTGCGTTATAAACAGAGACCGATTTATGTTATTTCTATTTGGAAAGAGGAAGAAAGCAATAGCGTTAGATTTTCTGCGTTATAAACAGGGACCGATTTATGTTATTTATTTAGAAAGAAGAAGACAGAAAGATATTTGAAAGATATATATACATATATATATGTATAAAATTTAAAGAGAAACGTAAGGCCTGCTCGAGTACCTGGCCTATTGTTTGAAGGGTTTCTTTCAACCAGTAGGCAGTCTATTGAGTGACCAGAGAGAGAGAGAGAGAGAGGAGAGAGAGTTGGTAGTCTATTTTATACTTGAGTATACATATATACACTGTAAAAAATTTAGGGAGTTAACGGACTCGGGAGTTTGGAGTGTAATTTTTCGAGTTAAAAATCAACTCCAAAAGAGAGTTAATTTCTAACTCCCTTCATTCAACACCCGCGCGAGTTATTTTTTCATTGGGGAGTTAGCATTTGGGTGTGAAGTTTTAACTCTCTTTATTTAACTCCCCTGGCATTAACTCCCCAATGGGTGCGACTTTTATAGAATCCCCTGGGGAGTTAAAATTTAACTCTCTTTTTTTACAGTGTAGTTATAGTTTATTAACAGATTTTCGCATTATATAATACAGAAAAATAAAAGTGCAATGTGAAGAACACTTTTTTTCTCTTTTCAAAATTAAAAGACGAAAAAAATTTTTGTGATTAAAAATAAGGATAAGGAGGTAAGTTTTTAAAAATTGTGTAAAATACTAATTTTTAGTGATATAAAATGATTTTTCTTTTTTGTAATTAAGAAATGCAAGTAATAAATTAACAACTTTCCCGTCTAAGTCACTAAAATTATCTACTTTTTCAACAATTAAACTTGTAAAGAAATTTAAATAACTTTCTAGAATCATTTTAAAAATGCTTAATCTCGTCCTTGAGTTTGCCTTGTTTTATTAAAAAATTAATATAATTTCAGAAATACTTTACATGGTTTAATATTTTTTTAATAAATCTTAAACCAGTACCCAGTTTTTTATTATAAAAAAGTTTATGTTGTCTTAAACAAAAAAAGAATATTTTTTATTTCAGTTCAAAATTAGAGTCTTGAAGGTAATAAACAGGTGCCATAATAATAAGGTGCCAGTTCTAGAATCATTAAAATAATAATATTTATTCGCCAAAATATGACTATCAAATAAACACAATTTTTTTTTTTTATTGTTTATACTCCTGCCCTATTGGCCTTACGCACTTCGACAAGAGTCCCCGAGAAATACTTTTTTGGATTAAGCATAACCATTCTACTTTAGAAATTTTCTATAATATATATTAACCTAATTTTGCGTCTACAGCCGACTTTATTAGGAGTACTCGCATTACGCCTGGACCACCCGTCAATGGGCGCGAACCAAGGGTACTTATACCCTTGGTCCTTAAACGACCACCAACGCCAGGCACCTATCCGACTGAGCCAATCTGTCGGTATAAACACAATTTAATAGCTTCAACAAGAGCATTAAAATTGATTTCTTCTGAATCAATTGACTTTTTTCGACTTGACATGCCCAAAAATACTAGAAAAAAAAATAAAAACAACATTTAAATAGTATGCCTGCAAAGTCGTATTTTTTATGCTGCCCAGATGGGTGTTGATACCGTCTCACAACTGGTGATATGCTGTGTCTCACACCCAGAAATTGGCGCTATTTTGAAAAAGGAAAATTAAATAATTTTCAACCGTAGATTGGAACAATGCAATATTGCCTCACGAAATATAAGGAAAACACTAAAAGAAAATGCATTACATTTACCTTTTCCAATTAATTAACTTGGAAAAAAAGTACTTTGCATTTATTGAAAAAACGCTTTTTAGTCGATTATCACACACAGTGTTGGTATTTAACAAAAACAGTTTATATATCCGCTTCGGCGTACACGAAAAAGTTGGGTCATATAAAAAGAAATGTTTTTATATAAACCAATCGGCTTTTTAATATTGCATGTTAAAAAAATTGACTGTCTCACAACTGGAG